TGATATGTCTGGTTTTATTTTATTTTATTTTATTTCATTTATTTATAATTAGGAATTATTTTACATCTGCAAATTTGGAATTTTGTGACTTCATGAAAAATGCCAAAAGATCACTTAGGCCATTGTCTTGCTCCTTGTCTTGGTATGGAGCAACACTCCTTCCTTCCCTATCTTGATAGGGAGCGTTTTTCCTTTTATTATATTTAATATTACATATTTATATTAGTTAAAAGTTTTAAGTAATTTTTGATATTGAGTGAGAAAGTAAAATAATTTAATAAGATCTGAAGTCCACCAATATATAAACTGTCCACCAGTATATAAACTTCATAAATTTTACGAACACATAAAGTATTTTTAAAATAATGTTAGGGATCCATTTTTTTGTTTTAATTAATCATATGCGAAGCAAATTTGTATTAATCTAGGCCTCAAAATGAGAATCGACATCATGTAAAAAGAAAAAAAAGTCAACACAACACTTAAATTTTATAATATAAATTTAATTTAATTACTACTTATATTTTTTTACTAAGTTAGGTTATCAAAAGTTCAAAAACAATATCAAAACTATATATTAATTCTTGCCCCAGCAACAATAAATATAAAATATTATGGAGAGTATGTTTGTCCCCATGTAACTCTAATTACCTCATAATTAACACCTGTTGCAATTTTTATTTTTTTAATTAATAGAACATAGATAATGAACATTAATTAATTAGTGTTTACTAATAATATAAAGGAGTTTTATGTTATAAAATCATTTAAAAGGTATTTACAAGTAATTCTCAATAAAAAGAGGGGATTACAATCTTGAAAAAAAATGAAAGTTGTCTACTAAAACAAATAAATATAGCCCGACAATGTAAAATATCCTTTATTTTGTTTGTCAACGATGAAATCAAACAATTTACCTAGAAATTCGATAATTTATTATATATATAAAAATATTTTAATCTTTTTTTTTTTTTATATATAAAACATAATTTTCCAATGAAAAACATGACAAGACATAGATGAACCTTTATAGCCATTTGACTGATATAAACACGACAAATCCCCCTTTGTTTGTATTGCATGCTATTTGTGCCAAATGCCACTATTGTGTGTTTAATTAACTATAAACATTTTAAATTTGAATCCTTAAAATAAAAGTAATTGAGTCTCATATTAATCGGACGATAAATTTAAGAGAATTCAAATTTTGAAAATAATTTTTTTGTCCCATATCTAAACGATGATAGAAGTAAAAATATTAATTTATCATAATACATGAATAATTAAATAGTAAAATGTCCGTTAACTACAATTTTTTTGAATATTCATAAGCAAATATAGACTTACATGATAAAAAGAACGACCAGTTGTTGAAACAATTTTTTTTTTTTAAATTCTGAATTCTGTCTTGTATTATTATTTTTGTTGTGTTATGAATTATTATTTATACTAGTAAAAATAATCAGATATGAAACCAAACAAAGACAATAATTCTGTGATGATTGTACAACAATAATAATAATATATTCAATGCAATTTTATAAGTGAAATTTGAAGGGAGTAAGATAAACATAAATTTTATTTTTATCTTTGAAAAATAGAGAGACTATTTTCGATAGACTTCGACTTAAAAAACAAGTCGTTAATTACTAGAAACAAATATTTTTTTCCATTGCGAATCAGTTAAAATTTTGTGTTATAGAATATAATTTTTCCACTAATTTTTCGCTAAATCAGCTCACTAGAAAAATACATGATAGAAAAAAATATTCTCAATAAAATAGCGAAAAATATTTATGAATAAAAATTATATTATGTATATAAATATATATTAAAAAATTATACATATAATTTTGACCATTTTGGGACAAAGTTCCTAATTACTTTATTAAAGTAGTGGTTTTAGTTATCACACATGACGTGGATAATCTTTATAATTATCTTCTTACATTTTTCTTAATTTGTCGTTTCTTCCAACATTTTATTTTGATAATGAAATGATATTATTCATATATAATTAAGGAAAAGGACAAAATTGTTTGTAATAATTAAAACAAGAACACTAACTCCTATATGGCAATATCGCTTAATTTGTCTTGGCTAGAAATGGGATTTGACACGTTGTTTTTATATAATGATTTTTTTTAAAAAAAAATAATAATACTATAGTATTAATTTTCTTATGAACTTTAAATATTTTTTCATGAAAGCAACTAAATTGTAGTTTGTGGTGTCAACCTTTTATTTCAATTTTGTTTTATTATTAATTGTTATATCAAATTAAGTGCATGACTATGACTCGAGTCTCTTCATGTATATGTTTGTCGTCGATTGTTTATTGGACAAGAAATAATACAAAAATGTTGCTTTCTATCAATTTTTTTTGTCGTGATATCTTACAAATTTAACCTTATCTATATTCGGAGCTATTTTTAAAATAGTTTGACGCAATGCAACGGAAGCTTATGTGAATTGTGGAATCTTTTATTTTAGTGTAACAATAATAAAACGTAATAAAATGTTACGATCGCTTAATATAAGAAACACGAGTATGATAAATTTGTTGTGTGTTGTTGTAGAGGGTGAAAGGGGTTAAGGGGATTATGTTTTGGATTCTTTTTGGTATTTTTAATACTAAACACTAATTCAACAAATCTGATAAATATTTATTTTTGTCTCTTTATCAATTTTAATCATGTAGAACTTGGCTATACATTTGTTATACACGAATTCTATACTAGCAACAACTACAATCTATTATAGTTAAGCAAATAATTATAAATTTAATGGCTGACTAAAAAAGCTAAAGATCTTTTTTTTTTCCTTTTTAATTTCCACTACCTTAACATGCTTTTGTCTTGAGGCATAATTTTAGTCAATGAATTTATGTCATGTGGTGTAGTTTATGCCACTCAGTTTATGCCTTAGACATAACTTGTATCGTTGCACTTATTCTCCTGTCATAATTTGGGCTTAATTACTTTTGCATTCAGACATAACTTGAGCACACTACACTTATGTATGGGGCATAAATATCTACCTTGTGAATTCACTATTGGCTTGTTATTTGAAATCAAGTTATAATCTCAAAATTAATTTTAAGAAATATTTGGATAAGAATACCCTCAACTTAAAAGAGTGCGAAAACCTACTTCTTTATCTTTTTCTGTTTACTTCGAACTCCATCGAAAGGTGAAAATAAACAATATGGAATTATCTAGTATTTTATTAGTTTCAGTATTTTTTCCCGTAAAAGTACAATATGGTGAAATTTAACTTCTAAAAGTTCATACTCCAAGAAAATGTTTTGAAATTCACATATAAGGAGTCTTTGAATCCGTATTGGATGTAATTTTTCTATTTTAACATAAATTTGAACGGAGAAATTGTACTTACAAAATGCATTATATTTGATTTAGAGATATTTTATTTTATTTAAAAAAAAAACAAATTTGATCATTTATGAGGGTTGAGTTTGGCATCCCGAACTTATACATGATAAAAAAGTAGAGATACTATAAACAAGCTCTACTAATAAGTAACACACAAAAAAGTTCAAGTTATTGTGGAGGCCAAATGGACATAGTATGCTATGTTTAAGTTATGGAAGCTCATATACCAGGTAGGAAGGCTTTACTGGTTTCATTCTAAAAGATGAGAACTCTCACCTATCCATGTTGATAAGACCCCTAACTTGCTTAAGGAGAAAAGAGAAGGGGTACTATAACGCTTAGAAAAATAACTTGATAAAGTGTTTTTAGAAAGTTGATTATATAGGGGTAGGTATTTGGAGAACTCCAAAATTGAAAAGGAATTAAAAAAATTTCTTAGAGACAAATCATTGATATATCTTATAAATACGCCACATAACTTTCAAGATGGAAGTTATCCCCATTTTCTTGACCCATACTAATGAGAATTTTATAGAGTAGCCTATTTCTCCTTCACTGGGACATTGTATACTGTATAGAGCGCTTCGTAATACTTGACTTAGAAGGAATAAAGTTCAAACCTTTGACACGTTTTTGCTCATTCGAAAATTCTCATCTACAATTTATGTGATGAGTACATGTACAATTATTAAGCAAAGACAGTAATAGAGCAACTCTCCATTGGCATGTCAGTTGATCTATGTACAAAGTGAAGCTGTGAAGGTACCAAATCCTTCATAGTAAATCGAATACGATTTTGAGGGATTTGATTTATGGAATAAATGTATGGATCAAGAAACAAATCAACATGAAAATATTAGCTGCATAAAAACAAAAGAGAAATGAGATTAGGAGAAATCACATGTAGATGTTGAAACATTTATGAAAATATTTGTGATTTGATTTTTTTTTTTTTTTTTTTTTCAATTATTTAATTTTTGGAGGTTCGACTT